AGATGGGGGGGCAAGAACAGTATGGGAAATACAGAATCTAAAGAACTTGAGACACATGATCATAAACTGAAGGGGGGTAATGGTGGGGGAGGGGGTGTACAGGGTGGAGGGGAATGAAGAGGGGAATAGAACAACTGTAATGGCATAATCAATAAAAAAATAAATTAAAAAATCAATAAGTAGGGGAAAAAAAAGGAATTTTCACTCTGAAACACACCTACAGAACCAGCACCCTGATTGAGACAGAAAGTGAGTCCTGGCAGGGTAGCTCAGTTGGTTAGAGCATTGTCCCAACACCCCAAAGCTGCGACAAGCAAGAACCAACCAACAAGTTCTTAAATAAGTGGAACAAATTAATGTTTTTTCCTCTCCCTTATTCTCTCTAAAATCAATAAATAATAAATTTAAAGAAATGAGAACGTTATTATTAGGATCCTAGAAACCCTCCTTATGCTTCATTTCAATCACTACTCCTGACCCCCAAAGGTCAACATTATTCTGATTCCTATCCCGTGAATCATCTCATCAATCTTGGAACTTTATATAACTGCAGTCACTCAGCATTATTCTTTTATGCCTGCTTTCTCACACTCAGCACTACGTTTATGAAGTCCATCCCCATAGTTGTGTGTAGACACAGTGTTCATTTTCACAGCTGTATAATACTCCATTGTGTATATGAGTGCACCAAGATTTATTTAGCTATTTTACTGTTGATGGGGATACAAGAAAGGGGGAAGTTCCTAGTGCTGTTGGATGGTGATACTAGACAGTGAGAGGCTTTATCCAGGCACTGATCTCTGAATTTTGCTCTGAATTATGTCCTAATTAATATTTGAGGTTGCTACGTGAGTTTTGAGGTGTATTTTGTGGAAAGGCGTACAGAGCGATGAGTATGTTCTGTGCACTCAGGGGCCCACTGTGCCACACCAGCCCCTGTCCTGCCAACTGTCGTGGCACCACACACCTCCTGATGGCAGCTGCCTGAACTGCAACCACGACTCCTAGAAGAAGCTAATTGCCGGTTTTTCAAACCAGGCATCATTTGCCAAGTGCTACAACCCAGAACATACTTTACACTTGAACCAGTGATCAGAGTCCATCAATTTAAATGTTAATCTCATTTAAAAAAACACCTTCATAGAAACATCTAGAATACTGTTTGACCAAATCTCTGGGCATTGTGGCCTGTCAAGTTGAGGCATAAAATTAACCATCACAAATAACTTACATTAAGTTAAGTAAATGTCCTTCTTTTTCTAGATTTTAAAGAGCTTTACATAAATTTTGAGCAATTACTTTTATATTAAGATCCTCATTTGGTCTTTGTATTGTTCAATAGACGTGTAAGTTTCATAATATAAAACCATTCTTACGCCGTTGAGATAAATCCAACCTGACCAGGAAGAAGAAGTGCCTCTCAGGCCCCCCCTTGCCCTCCATTCCCACTGCCACCACCTGTGTTGGGCAGAGAGCAGAGCGCCAGCCCCCTTCCAGGCACCCCGGCTCCGGCCTGGCCGGGAGGAGCCTTGTGCAATCCACACACGGAGCCCGTGGGTGGCGCCTGACAGCTGCGGGAGTCACAGTCCTCACCCAGATGGGAGTGGGGCTGCCAGGGCCTCCTAGCCCTGGGGGGTTCAGGGGGCCTGGGGTGACAGAAGCTAGTCAGAGGGTGCGGGAGAGACAGACAAACACACTCACGTGCACACTCATGCGTGTGGCCTTCGGCCTCAGCCCTGCCCACTCTGGGGCCATACAGTACTCTTGGGTTTATTGTATAGTACTCGGGCTTTATTGAAAATTTCCCAAATCAAATGAGTCATTTTTTCCTGCTTGTGCCCCCCTCAATCTTCATAGTACAGGTGACCCGAGTCTATTAAACTGCAAGGCTGAGGGCACAGTCCCCCAGACTGCCAGGTCTGCCCAGGACTTCTGTCCCCACCTTCTAGGGAACTTTCCAAATGGTGCAGTCTAGGGGAACAGCCCACTAGACGGCCCTCCCTCCAGGTACCAGCTGCAAGGTGAGGGGTCCCCAGGACCACCGTCACTTCACACCAGCTGGCTACAAATTGTGGACGTCCCCAGAACCACCCTTAGGTTTGATAATTTGCTAGAACAACTCACAGAACTCAGGAAGACTCTATACCTAATATTACAGCTTTGGTACACACACACACACACACACACACACACACACACACACACACACACACAGTAAAAGGGTACAAATTAAAAGCATCCAAAGGAAGTGATATACAGGGGTAGGATCCAGAAAGGGTGGAAGGGGTTTATTGTCAGATCTGGGTTTGTGTGAGGTGATTTACAGAATGCTCAAGGAAGCCAAGTGTTGGTCTGGACTGGGTGCTACCAGAAAGTGAGGGCAGTTCTGTGACTGGGTGTCTTCATTTTAATCCACATTCGGTATCGAAGCAGCACTCTCATGCTGAACAGGAGAGGGCAGAGCCCGGTCATTTGGGTGGTTTCACGGTGGTCTTGCTTTGTCTGTGCTCAGATGCGCCACGCAGGGGCTTCTTTCCGTCCCGCTGCATCACAGTGGTGTCGTGATGCCGTTGTCCGGCGCCGGGGCCTGTGGAAGTGTGCTCACCATGGCCCAGCAGCCAGGCTCAGGTCAGCTCCTCGCAGACCCGGGGGGGCTGACTTTTTTCCTCCACCCTGAGTTTCATCAGGGATATATAATTGGGGACAATAATTCTACTGAACATATTTGGGCAGCTGTGAGAATTAAGGGAAATAATGAAAAATGCCTGGCATAAAATAAAACACAATCGTTGTATAAAATAATAAGAAATATATGTTTGTTTTTGTCCCTGGTTGTTGACACAGTTCCTGAGACCCCTGTAAAAAGGGGTGCTGGGGGGCACTCGTTCCAGTGTCTACTCTCCGACCCCTCTTCTGACACAGGGTTCCCGAGACCCTTGTAATTCCCCGAGTGACAGGAGCATCTGACACCAAGTTCTGTGGAATTTCTTGGGTAACAGACTATCTTTTTTCTAATGAGATGACTCTTGGTGGGCTTCTGGTTAGGGGCTGGTCCCTGGAAAGAGCAAAGCCTCAGTGGGAAGCTTGGAGCTTTCAGCCCCACTCCCTACCCTCTGAAGAGGGGAGAGGGGCTGGAAATGGAGTTAATACTGGGTCTGGTGTACATGATAAAGCCTCCATCAACATCCTGTTAGTGTGTGGTTCAGGGAGCTTCTGGGCTGGTTAACACTTCCACGCCCGGAACACGATGTATCCCAGCTCCATGGGGACAGAAGTGCCTGCACTTGGGACCGACCCTTCTAGACCTCTCTCTATGTACGTGTTCGTCTGGCTGTCCATCTGTCTCCTTTATCATACCCTTTAATAAGCTGGTAAACAGCAGTAAGTGTTTCTCTGAGCTGTATGAATCATTCTAGCAAATTATTGAACCAGGGAGGGACCCCAATTTATAGCCAGTTCGTAAGAAGTACAGATGGCAGCCTGGGACTTGCGACTGGCATGTGAAGTGGGAGCGGTCTGGTGGGACTGATCTCTTAACTTGTGGGATCTGATGCTATCTCCAAGTAGATAGTCTCAGAATGTAACTGAATTACAGGACGTCCAGCTGGGGATTACTTGGCGTTGGAGAAAAGCTGCTCCCATAGTGGCCAGATGCGCCAAAGCTGTTCTGCGTGAGCAGTCAAGGACTACAGGAGTGTTTTTCCTGCTCCGGCCAGTTCATGCCATTAACATCATCGAAAAACAAGTGCTCCTGATAAAATGGAGAGAATGTAGACTCTGAATAAAGCCAAATACATAAGAGGCAGAGGGAATACGGTCCTGAGAAGGGGTCATCAGATGAGGACAGTCTCAGAACCAGGCTCTCACTGTGATACCCACTTGGGGTCAGGGCAGCCACAGTGTGAGTGTGCGTGTGTCCCTTTGAGTGTGAAGGATCATAAGTGAGTGTGGCAGCAACACATATAAAGGATTATATGGGTGGGGGCAAAAGTAGGTTTACAGTTTTTATATGGAAAATAATATAATAATTAATAAATAATAATAATAGAATCAACTCTGTGTTTTCACATACAACTATACACCTACTTTGGCCAACCCTTCCCCCACCCCCATGTGTCATAACCAAGCTGGATTTATCCCAGGAAGGCACCCCAAAACCAGTTATTTCAATATGTCACATTAATAGAATAAAGGGAAAAAACAGCACAGTTACATCAGGAGACACTAGAAAGCATTTGACAAAATTCAACACCTTTCATAATAAAAACACTCAGCAAACTAGGAAGAGATGAGAGCTTCCCCATCCTGCCGAAGAGCATCTAGGACAAAACCACAGCTGATGTCACCCTCGATGGCTCCAGACTGAATGCTTTTCTTCCAGTACTGGATCCAACAAGGATGTCTGCCACTCCTATTTGACATTATATGGAAGGTTCTGGCTACGACAAGAAAAGGAAATAAAAGGCATTTAGATGAAAAAGGAAGAAGTTAAACCATCTCTATTTGCAGGTGACATGATCTTATATTTAGACAATTCTAAGGAGTAAAAAAAAGCCTATTAGAGCTAATAAATAAGGTCAGCAAGACTATATGCTATAAGATCAACATAAAAGTTATATTTCTTTATAATAGCAATGAATAATCCAAAAGTAAAATTAAGAAAATTAATTTAATTTACAATAGCATCAAAGAAAATACTTAAGAATTTAATTAAAGACATTCAAGGTTTGTGCATTGTTGAAAGAAATTAAAGAAGACCTAAATAAATAGAAAGACATCACATGTTCATGAATCAGAAGATTTTCAATTGTTAAAATGGCAATACCCCCAAAATTCATCTATAGATTTAATCACCATTGAAATTCCAGCTGTCTTCTTTGCACAATTTGAAAAGCTAGTCTTTTAAAAAAATTTTTCAATAGTCTTTATTTATTTTTCTTTTTAAAAAAAAATTTATTTATTTTTCAAGTACATTTTTTGTCTATTTCTCCCATCCCTTGAAAAGCTAGTCTTAATATTGACATGGAAATTCAATAGCTAATACAATCTGGAAAATGAAGAACAAATTTGGAGGACTCATACTTCCTGATTTCAAAGCTTACTATAAAGCTACAGAAATCAAGACAATATGGTATCAGCAAAATGACAGACGAGTAGATCAATGAAACAGAATCAGAGTCCAGAAATAACCCTCACATTTACCGCTAATGGATTTTCAACAAGGGCCTCAGGACAACTCAGTGCAGACAGGAACAGCGTTTGCAACAAATGGCGCTGAAACAACTGGACATCCATGTGCAGAAGAATGAAGTCAAACCTATACCTCACATCACTTACAAAAGTTAACTCAAAATGGATCAAAGACCCAAATGTAAGACTAAAACTATAGGTGTAAATCTTCATGACCTTGAATTAGGAAGTGGTTTCTTAAATATGACAACAAAAGCACAAGCAACAGAAGAAAATATGGAGAACTTGGGTATCATCAAAGTAAAAAACTTCTGTGCTTCAAAGGATATCATCAACAAAGAAAAGGACAACCCACAGACAGAGAAAAGCTCTGCAAATCATGCATCAGATCTGGGATTTCTATGTAGAATATATAAAGAACTCTTACAATGTAACAATAAAAAGACAAATACCTCAATTAAAATGGTCAAAAAATTTGAATAGACACGTAAAATGTCATGTACCTCTAAAGAAGATATGTGAAAGGCCAATAAGTATGTGAAATGATTCTTAACATCATGAGTCACTAGAGAGACGCATAGGAGATACCACTTCATACTCTCTAGGTAATTATAATTAAAAAGACAGCCAATGACAAGTATGGCAAAGGTGGAGAAACTGGAACCCCCACACAGTGCTGACAGGAGTGCAAAATGGTGCAGCTGCTTTGGGAAACAGTCTGGTTCTCAGGATGCTGGGACCCCTGAGCAGCCTCGAGACTGCACCCCTGGAAGTCTGTCCCCCTGTGTCTGGCACTTCAGGACCGTCCTCAAGGCCTGTAGGATGGTGTCCTGGCTGTTCCGAACATTGTAATCACTGAGTCGCAGCAGGCGGTCAAAGTCTTCCTCCTTGTAGGTCATGTTGAACAGGGCGTAGGGTGAGGTGGCCCCGGTGAGGTCCACTTGGCCAGCTGGTAGCTCTGCAGGGCTGCGCTGGACACCTGCTCAGGGGAGGGAGGAGGTTAGGAGCAGCACCCAGAGGCCTCCTCAGCTGGGTAGAACTAAACCCCTGTGCACAGGGGTGGGGTCTCCCCACTGAAGGGGCTCCTTGCTTCTCTCCCAGCCCTCTATGTCCTTTGCCCAGAAACATACATGTGGAGAGTAGGATACTACTTTGAGATATAAAGAGTTTGCTGCTCCACATTTCCTCACAGTGTTCCACTTCTCCCACCACTCAGGTAACCTCATTTATCTATGGCACCTTCAGGGGCAAGCTGGAAGCAGCCAGAATGACAAAGTCAATAGGCTAGTGAATGAATTCTTACCAATGATGAAAACAAGAGACCGAAAACCACAGGACTCTTGCTTTGCAAAAACCAGTCTTTGCTGATAGAAGAACAGAATTCCAAGATATATATTGACCATGCTAGGAGTAAAGCTGGAAGATTGGGAGTTATGGTGGGAGGGAGAAAATGAGGAATAATGCAAAAAGGCAGAAATTTGGTTTTCCCACCAAAAGGAGAGAAAAGTCTGACCAGTTGGTGGAAAGCAAGGATTAAAAGAAATGTAAGAAGGGTTTAGATTTCAGGGGTCCCAGAAAGAGTCTCAGCTCCCTGAGAAAGGACCCTGGTCTGGGCCGGGGTAGGATGACAGAGGCCAGGTGAACACCCCTGGTGTGGGGGACTCTGAGAGAGTGGGCCCGGGCCTCGCACCCTGGCTGTCTAGCCTGGAGAGCGCTCATGAAGCCCTCTAGCCACCTGGTACCTGGGCAGCAGTGGAGGTGGCTGCAGATGGCGACAATGCAGGCTGCGTCTAGATGCAAGGGTCCTTCAAACTCCACCCCATGAAGCAAGAAAGCTGAGTGGCCCAGGTGTAGCTAGGGGAATTTGGGGGTGGGTGGGTAAAGGAGCCTGGGGTCATGACAGAGAGCACAGCAGCATGAAGACTTTGCAAACTGGGGGCCCCTGCAAATATGCGGGCATTAGGCGTCTGCAACAGACACCATGACACTATTTTGTCCAAAATTGGTGGGGAAGACTAACCTTAAGACTCTCCTCACCCTCTGCTAGCCACAGGGGTCTGGGGAGGGCCCAGGGCAGTGCCAAGAGGGGCCAGGCTGCCACGGTGTTCTGGAGGAAGGGGCTGCTTTACCTGGGGCCGAGTGGTCCTTGAAGGAGGCATTGACCAACGGGAAGTGCAGCAGGACAGGGGCATCGGGGCAGGTGGGGTCAGAGAAGAGGTGGCACTCCTTGGGCTGGCATTGGTCCTGTGGGCCAGGCTCCACGTGGGGGAACGGCAGCCCTCGGCCTCGGCAGTACACCTCAGTCTGCTGCAGCGTCTGGTGGGGGAGAGGGCGCCGGAGAGAAGCGCTACTTCCTGGCCATCCCAGGTCAGTGCTCTAGAAAATGCTGAGCACTGTGTCAACACAGCCCAGTGTCAACACAGCCCAGGTCCTGTCTGTGGCCCAGTTCAGCTTAGAGGGCAGCAAAGGATGCCACACTGTTCAGTTAAAGTCTTCAGGTTGGGTACCCACCTCACACCCCCCATCTGGGATTGCTGTTGCTGGATTACTCAAGTCCCAGAGCCTAGAGGACCTCAGTGGGGAACACTTCTGTATCATGGCCCTTCTCCCATACGTCCCTAGAGTCTCTAGGGAAGCTCTGGTGGGACAAATACAGACAGGCCAGGGGCTCCTCCCAGCTCTTATCAGCTGTTCCCCTGGGCCTCCAGCATCTCCACAGCCCTTTCCAATCAAGGACCCTGGCAGGAGCATGTGGGTCAGAGTCTGTCACCTCTCCCTCCCCTTGGGGACACAGGTGGTCTGGGCCAGTGGCCCAGTGGCCCTGTTGCTTGCTCCTGGAGCTCAGCCTGGCTAAGTAACCAGAAGTACCTCAAAAGGCGAGGATAGGCTGTAGTCGAAGGAGAGTATGAGGTCCAGCCTGCGGCCTGGCCGGAACATAGAGGGAGAGCTGGTGTTCAGGAAGTAGCCGGCATCCACCAGGCAGAGGTGGGGCTCCTGTGGGGTCAGCTGGCCAGGGCTGGAGTCCAGCTGGCTGTCTGATGGGGGGCAGAGATGGCTAGGGGCAGCCCCTCCACCACAGATCACCCACACACAGTGCCCCCCCCCCGCCTTCATATAGCATTTGCCTCCACGCCCCTTTGTACCTCTGGTGTCACTCCTGCATGCATGTGACACACGCGCTTCCCAAGACCTGCTCCAGGCCACACCCCAGTATTGAATGCTATGACCTTCAAGGCCTCTGCCAGTCCCAGCCATGGACCATTTCCACCCAGGAGTCTAACCCCGTTACGCAAGGATATACGGCAGTGGCTCTTACCCGCCCAGGTAGAGAAATCTTTCTGGTCAAAGTAGTCCTGGTGCAGCTGCAGGCCCTGGAGGAAGTTGGAGCTGTTCTGGGAGAGTGGCCTGCCTGTCAGAAAGCCCTTCAATGCCCGGGTCAGCGCTGTCCCAGGCTGCAGCCACAAGTCCTCCAGCCACGAGGAGGTCCTCAAGGAGGCAGGGGCGTCCTCTGGGCTCAGAGAAACAGACCTTGGTCCAGTGAGGGGCCTGGAGATGCCTGGTCCTGCCCCCCTCTGACAGCCCCCACCCCCTGCATCTGAAGGGGAAGTGGCCTCATCCTAGGCTTCCCTTGCTGCCTACCTTTCCTTTCTAGGTTCCTGATCTTGTCCTTGATTTGCTGCTTCCAGGATTCACTAGAGCTGGTGAGGTCATACCAGGCGTCCAGCAAGTTTAGGGAGAACACATTGCTCCAGATACCTGAAGGCCAAGCCCCCATGAAAGGTCAGCCTCCGGCCTCAACACCCCGTTCCTCTTGCTTAGAAGCCAGTGATCCCCACTCTCGGCGCAGGTGGAAAATGGGAGGTACAGCAGGCGGCCTCTGAAATGCCTGCTTCCTACAGCCCAGTGCCAGCCCTCACCCAGGGGCTCTGCCAGACCTGAGCACTGTACAGGAGTCACGCTGGTCAGACAGGCCTGGCACGAGCCTGGCCAGGGCCCTCAGAGTGACCACCTCTCACCTTCCAGGAAGCAGATGCGGGGCTCAGGCAGCCTGTTCATCAGCTGTCCCATGAAGAACTCAGAGCCGAAGAGCTCAGTAGGGACAAAGGCTCCGTACTTCAGGAATCCTACCTCATAGGGGGAGAACTCGACCCATTCTAAGGGGCAGGAGGGAGAGGTGGGAACGAGAGAAGAATGGGCATGGGAAGCCCCGGCTCTGATAGGAGCCAAAGATTCTGCCCCCAGCAGGCCTCAGCCTCCTGCCTGCCTGGCTGACTCCTGGGCTGACCACTCCCTCCCCTCCCCACCCCTTGACTACATCCCACCACCACCCCACCACCCCCAGCACCATCACCACCACCCCACCCCACCCACCTCCAGGACAGCGAGCTCCAGGGGCTGGCTCATCAGCCCACCAGGACCACCGCCCTTCCATCTATGCAGCAGTTTCCTGTCTGAATTTTCTAGGGACCCACAGGGTGCAGATCAGGTGTGCATATATGTTATATGTGTGTGTCCGTGTGTGCACATCTGCATGTACACTGACACGTGTCTGCTGGGGGGTGGAGTGGACAGGACTGAGGACTGTACCCTTGAAGTCGAGTGTCTCCAGATTGTTATCTTTGACGTTGAGGCTCAAGTAGAGGGGCAGAGGGTTCTGGCCCCGCTCCAGCGCAGCTCTCTGTCCTGACAGCTTCTGGTCCATCACCTGGGGGGAGGGGCATGGGGCCTCAGTGAGGTGAGGAGCGCCCTTGAGACAAGGGGCTCCATCAGGACAGAAGTGGGGGGAGACACAAGCTGGGGGTGAAGAGGCAGGTCCCCCTTAGGATTTGGGGGGTGTGGGTGGCTGTACACTTTCAGTGACCCCTCCTGCCTCACTGTTCACAAGGACTAGTGTCAACAGTGACACCCCACCCCTGCATCCTGTGGTTCCAGTCTCCCCATCTTTAGGGGCTGAAGGGTGCAGTGAATGCACCCGACGCACAGATCCACAGGTGCAGACGAACTGCTTCCTAGAAAGGACACAGGAATTCCCTCTTAGTCTGGAAGTTGAACTGACAGGAAGGCGAGGAGGGACATTGTGGGGAGGGATGGGAGATGGCTTGAGCTGAGAGGCAGGGGCCACGAGGTTGGAGAAGCACTGGAGGTGGAATCAGTACAGCCCGGCCTGGGTGGATGTGGGGCCTGCCACAGCTTCCGGTGCAGGGTGAAACTCCTGCAAAACCTTCTCAAAGATAGAAAGGCCACACAGATTTCACAGTCAGTCTTAATTAATTTAGGGTTAAAGGGTAGCAGTGGTTAGAGGAACAAGGAGAGGAGACCCCTGGTGCAGACCAGGGGAGCGGGGGAGCACATGGGAAATGTTCTCTGGGAGTAGTCAGGACAAAACATCTTATTCGATGTCATCGACTTTTACCTAAAGAGCCAGTGAGGAGCTCATCTACAAGGGAATTCGGACCTTCGTATGTTTTCCAGATAATTGTAAGAGTGAGGAAAATAAGTTGTTCTTTTAAGCTGGGGAATTTCTCCCAAAAGCATGTTTCTTACTACAAGTAGGAACTGTATATCGAATATGCAAGCTACCTGTATTAGCAGCTGTGCCCATTTAAAAGCCAGTTAAGATACAGCATAGCAATTTTACCTCAATACTAAATAAATAAATAATAAATGAAAAATACAAAAGGAATTCCCTTTAGCAGACGCGAGCTCGGCCAGGGGGTGGGGCTGCCCCTTGTAGGCTCACCTAAACGCAGGTCGGGTTTCAGCCCCTCCCAGATGCCCCCCCCCCCCCACACACACCCTCGCCTCCCCCTCAGCACTCCTTTGCCTTCTGTTTTTAACTTTCCCTCCAACAACCCTCTGGGCTCTGGCTGCGGTGGCGAGGAACGGGGCTCACCTCCTGGGGAGTTCTAGGGGCACAGAAAGTTCTCGTTCTATCCTGGACCAGAGCTGTAAACAGGGTTCATCTCAAGCACCAGCAAGGTGGTGGCTGCCTGGAGCCCCACCTTGGGAGGGATTTTTCTGCCACAGGCCCTGGACTGTGTCCCACGGAGCAGAGCCTGTACCACGAATGTGCCTTCCCTCTTTTAGGCTCTCTGCGCTAGAAGGCGCCTCCCTCAGGAGCTAGACCTGGGGGGTTCCCAAACTGCTGTATCAGCCCTTGTCCTCAGATTTACTTGGAAAGTATGTCAAATACACAGATTACTGGGTTTGTTCTGAGAATCAGCAGAGGCCACCTAGGAATCTGCCTTTTTGAAATCTCCCCAGGTGATTCCGAGGACCGGCCAGGTGTGTGCCCCAGGTTTCTAGCCCAGTCCATCCAGTGAGGACTGCCCCTCTCACTGCGGCAAAGCCTCAGCCCACCGGTGAACCTCCTCTTCCCTGTCAGCCCTCTGTCACTCCATGAGCACACTCGTGTCAACCAGTCATCCTCTCCCCCACTTCTTCGGTGACACCCAGTGTGACCTGAGTTAAAGGGAACCCACAGGGGAACCTCCCCTCCCCCATCTCACGCTGCAGGCCCAGAGGGTTGGTCCTGCCTGCACGTCAGTCCTGTGGGTGTGGATGCGAGTGTGTATTGAGAAACAAGGGGCTTGATTAGTATCTGCGTTTCCCATTCTCAAAATTCTTTCAGTTGGGAATCCTGTTTGCCTGGTTATGACATGTATAATGAGAGCAAATGCATCCTTTTACCGCAGATGCTCAATTTCTGCCCTGGGGAAAGGCTTGGAAAAGGCTCGGCGCAGCCCTCCATGGACTGAGACGGGCTTCTGTCCCTTTAACCTGACCAGGAAGTGGCGGCAGGCTCCGACCTCCAGCCCCAGCCCACCCCTTTCCCTTATGAGGACCCCTAAGCCAGCAGAGGGCACTCTGATGGGTTCCCGCCCAGCAAGGGTCCTGCTCAAGGGTCTCGCCTGAAGTGAGGGAGCCCGGGGGTCGTGTTGGCGGCTCCTCAATGTGGGCAGGGAGCCCTACAGGGTGGGACTAATGAGTGTGTAAAGCCTTCTGTCCAAAATTAAAGAAAACGATGTAAGACCTCAACTCAGGAAAAGATAAGAGAAAAATGAGTTTCTCCTTGTATGGTGAGCAGCTTCTAAGCATTTCAGTGCTTGCCAGCAAAAAGCTTCCAGTTAAAAGTTAAGAGACAAAAAGCTTCCAAGAGATAGTTTGAGAAGCACTGATTGTAACTAGTGTATTTTACCATTTTTTTTTTACAAAAACTGAAGCAATTATTATAGAGGTGAACTAATAAAGTTGTTTTGAGTGAAATTCAAGGTATAATAATTCTCTGGTAATTCTTAATGCTAATGAATTGTAATTTGTTACATGGCACTATATTTTCTGGCATTTGAAAAGGACTTTTGGTATCACAGATTAGTATAATGCAGAGATACTTATTTTTATCTAGAGACAAATTTAAAATCAATGCTAAATTTGTCTAGAGAATTATTTAAAATAATGGATGCTAGCTTTAAGAGATAAAGCATCAAAACAAAGGAAAAAGAAACAATGTGTGAGAAGCTCTCCTGCCTGGGAAGGCATTTTTAAAGCCAAGCGGGAGCTCACTGTAAAGAATACATTATCATTCAGTGACATTGCAAGAATCCTTATCATGGTGAACAGAACAAAATGAAGTTTGTCTTTTTGAAAAAGGATCATAATAAACTGAGTCATTGCTGGAGGACCAGATGGTAATTAAATTAAAGTCTTCTTTATGGCCTGGGGTCAAGCCGCATCTTCCAGCCCCTACACAGGGACCCGTTAACAAGCTGCTCCAGCTTTACGGTGACTGACTGGTACCACCAGCCAGAAAAGTCAGTTAATAAAACTAATGTCCTCAAAGGGAACATGGACTTAAACAGCAGATGCAAAGAACATATAGGATATATTCATAAAATAAACAATATTTCAAGTAATTATGTTGGTTTTGTAAATTCAGTGCCATTTCAATGAAAATCCCAGTAACATTTACCATGAAATTTGACCAGCTGATTCTATCATGTGTACAGAAGAGCAAGGAGCCAAAAATAGTCCAGATCATTCTGAAAAGCACCCAGGGGCAGAGGGGGATGAAGGTGCCCTGTCCGGTGCTGAGATATATTATAAAGGTAGAGTAACCAGCCAGTGCGGTGTGGGCACAGGGGTAGAGTACTGGTCCCACGGGACTGGACCAGGAGCTCAGGGAGAGGCGGCGGCTCCCGGAAAGCTGGCCTGCCACCGAAGTGGTAGGGCGGATCAGTGGAGAAAAAACAGCCAATAAGCGATATTGGGGAAGTTTGCTATCGACATGCAAAAAAATAAAACTAGATCCCGATTCATATAATACCTGAAGACTAACTCTGGGCAAATTAGAGGTCTAATTGTGAAAGATAAATCTTTAAAACTTTTATACAAATATGTAGGAAGATATTTTATAACTTTAGGAGGGAAAAAGATTTCTTAAGACCCTAAAAGCACAAACCGTGAAGGAAAAGAATGATACATTGAATTGTATTAAAATTATGCATTAAAATCTATTAGAACTGATAAAGGATTAATATACAAAATATATAAAGATTCCTATAGGATTTCCACCAAGATGGAGGTGTAGGTGGAAACATTGTGCCTCTCCCAGAACCAAATTTAAAAACAACAAAATTTTAGCAACAAAAATGCAGCCAAACCACAGAAAATTGAACTATATCGAAGTCTGACAACAACAAACCCTTCAGCCAAACCGATAAACCAGAGAAGGAGCGAGCAATAAGATGGACCAGGCAGGCCCCAGTGGTGGGAAGCAGCAGAGGGGACTGCTATTGTCCCTCTCTGACCCCTCCCCACATACAGCATCACAAACCAGCGACCTGGGTGGCCCTGCCCTGGTGAACACCTAAGGCTTTGCTCCTCATACATAACAGGTGCAAACAGAGCAAAACATTATGGCTCAGGAAGAACTCAAAGCCCCAGAGCCAATAACTCTAAGTGATGAAGAAATAGCCAAACTTTCAGATGCACAGTTCAAAACACTGGTGATCAGGATGCTCACAGAACTGGTTGATTTTAGTCACAAATTAGAAGAACATATGAAGGCTAAACTAATTGAAATGAAGGAAAATGTACAGGAAACCAACAGTAATGGAAAGGAAACTGGGACTCAAATCAATGAAGTGGACCAGAAAGAAGAAAAAAATGACCAAACAGAAAAGGATGAAGAAACAAGAATTCAGAAAAATGAGGAGAGGCTTAGGAACCTCCAGGACATCTTTAAATGCTCCAACATCCGAATTATAGGGGCACCAGAAGGGGAAGAGAAAGAGCAAGTGGAAAACTTATTTGAACAAATAATAAAGGAGAATTTCCCCAATCTGGCAAAGGCAATAGACTTCCAGGAAATCCAGGAAGCTCAGAGAGTCCCAAAGAAGTTAGACCCAAGAAGGAACACACCAAGGCACATCATAATTACATTAGCCAAGATTAAACTGAAGGAGAGAATCCTAGAAGCAGCAAGAGATAAGGGGACAGTCACCTACAAAGGAGTTCCCATCAGACTGTCATGTGATTTCTCAAAAGAGACCTTACAGGCAAGAAGGGGCTGGAAAGAGGTATTCCAAGTCATGAAAACCAAAGACCTACAACCAAGATTGCTCTGTCCAGTGAAGCTTTCATTTAGAATGAAAGGACAGATAAAGTGCTTCTCAGATAAAATCAAATTCAAGGAGTTCATCATCACCAAGCCCTTATTATATGAAATGTTACAGGAACTTATCTAAGAAAAAGAAGATAAAAAAGATGAACGGTGAAAGGACAGCAAACTCAGTTATTAAGAACCACACCTAAAACAAAAGCAAACTAAGAGGACAGCTAGATCAAGGGTGAACCATAGAAATGAAGATCACATGGAGGGTTAGCAACAGGGGAGTGGGAGAAGGAGAAGGGGGGAGAAGGTACAGAAAATAAGTAGCATAGACGGTAGGTAGAAAATAGATAGAGGGGAGGGCAAGAATAGTAGGGGAAATATAGAATCTAAAGAACTTGAGACACGTGGTCATAAACTAAAGGGGGGGATGGTGGGGGAGGGAGTGTGCAGGGTGAAGAGGAATGAAGGGGGGAAATAGAACAACTGTAATGGCATAATCAATAAAATATATTTTAAAAAGATTCCTATAAAATGATATAAAAAGATGAATTAAATAGAAAAATGTAGAAGAATTTGAGTAGGTAATCCACAAAAGGGGAAGTCTCTATGGCAAATATATTTGAAAATATGATCAATCTCACTAAAAACTGAGATGAAAAATTACAATGAAATTTCATTTCCCACCCATAAAATAAACAAAAATTTAAAAACCTGAAGAGTGTGTAGAGTGTGTATTACAGGTGGTGGGAGTGTGAACTGATACAACCCTTTGGGAGAACAACTTGACAACAGCTAGGAAAGTGGGGGGTACACACGCCCAGTGGCCTAACGAGAGCACTACTGGGCGCACAACTTCAAGGCACAGAGAATCTCTAACACGTGCGCATTGGGAGACTTGTACAAAACCATTTGTGTAAATAATGTATTTTTCTTAAGGATATATATTTTTAATAAAAGTACACATAGTAAAGGTATATATAATAATATATATAAGCCCTGGCTGGTGTAGCTCAGTGGACTGAGCACAGGCTTGTGAAGCAAAGGGTGTCCAGTTCGGTTCCCAGTCAGGGCACATGCCTGGGTTGTGGGCCAGGTCCCCAGTAGGGGGTGTGTGAGAGGCAACCACACACTGATGTTTTTCTCCCCTCTTTTTCTCTTCCCTTTCCCCTCTTTCTAAAAGTAAATAAATAAAATCTTTATAAAAATAAAGTATATAAGAAAGGTATATAAAATACATGTTATGTAATTATATATTATATAATATAATAAAGCATACAGATTGCAGACATGCGTGTGATCATAAACCTAAACTCAGAATAGTGGTTGCCTCTGGGGTGGGAGGGAAATGGGAGGGGGAGGGGTCCACTGGGGGCTTTACCTCTTTCTGTTACATTTCACTTCTTAGGCTGGTTGGTAAGCTCCTGAATATTCATCACATTATTCTTTATGCTTACACATTTTCTTATGTCTGAGGATTGTCATAATACTTAATAATATTAAGATTTTTTAAACAAATATTTTTAAATTAATAAATAAAAAAATAAGAATGGCTGGTAACGTCCAAGTAGCATTGTGTCTGCCAGCAAGAACAAAATATTTAAAAAAAATTCAGCCCTGGTTCGGTGTGACTCAGTGGATTAAGTGCCGGCCTAAGAACCAAAAGGTTGCTGGTTCGGTTCCCAGTTAGGGCACATGCTTGGGTTGCAGGCCAGGTCCCCAGCTGGGGGCATGTGAGAGGCAACAAATCGATGTATCTCTTGCATATTGATGTTTCTCTCCCTCTCTTTCTTCCTCCCTTCCCCTTTTTCTAAAAATAAATATATAAAATCTTTTTAAAAATTAACATACCACAACATATACCATATTGATAAAAATCTTTAGCCACAATTTCTAAAAAATTTAAAGCAAATTCATTTTTGGTTGGTTTACATACTATGCATTCTTGGCCAAACTCTTGATACCCAAACACTCAAAGATAAGAAAGATAAGACTTTTTTCTCTACTAATATATTTGATAGTTTACTTTTTGTTAGGCATGTTAAATGGACTTTTTGTATTTCAGTTGTTTTAAATGCTTTAAAAGAAACTTTGTTCAGATAATCATATGTGGTAAAAGAATAGCGTAAAAAATCACTGATTTTAACAATTGTATCAGTTGTTGTAAGATTCAGTAGTTAATTTGCTAAGCTTTCCTTAAAGAAGCAATGCATTAAAAATTTATATGTTCAGTTTTGTCTTAATGGTGTTAGGATAATAGTAAAGGAATATACCAGCTAACACAGAACGCTTTTTCTACGCGAGGTACCACTGAGCGATCACACTGATGCTGCTACGTAAACACCAGTCTCATTCCTATTGTACAGATGAGCAAATGGAGGCACAGGGAGCTTAAATAATATGCCTGAGGACACGTTGCTAGTAAGAGGCATAGGGAATAGAACCCAGGGAATCTGGTACTGGAGTCCGTGCTTTTAACATCACCATGAAGATGAAGAGAAAGATATATCTCCTATTGCAGTATAAATAAAATGAAGACTGTTGGAGCAATCTGACTCAAATACATGCAAAAGCTCTGTCTGCTCAACTGACTTTGGTGTCGTCTGGTCCCTAGCTGTTGGGAGATCCACAAATTTCAGTTTCATGGCAATTTAAATGAAGAATAGCCTGACTCACACAGGTGGCATCCCAAATTTGGGCAGACACTGAAACACGGCGGTTCCCACATTATTTAACCAAGGGGCCAGGACTCTAACCCTGCAGAAAATGAGCATGCGCGCCAGCTGGTTGCGAGGGCGCTCCGGCACTCACGCTCCAGCCCACACACGCGGGTGACCCACCTGGCTGTGTAGCATGGACTCCAGCACGAGAGCCCACAGGTCCACAAAGGTTGTGGGCCGCCCCTGCTCCGCTCGCACCTCCAGCTCCCGGTGGTAGCTTGTCAGGCGCTCTAGGGAGAAGGCTTCCAACTTGCTCTTGGCCAGGTGCTCCCGGGCGTGTTGGATAGGTCCCTCAAGGTCTGTCTGTGACCACTCAGGGTTCCCATATAGTTGGGCCATTGTCCTGGAGAACAAAGGGACAGTACAATAGGATCCTGAGGCCCAGCATGGGTCACTGCAACTCCGCCCTCCCACCCTCCACTTCTCCCAAAGCGTTGCTCCTGCAGCCAGAGCCACGCCTGTCTGGAAAATGTCTCAGGGCTTTCTCTCCTAGATCAGCGCTGTCCAATATAAGTATATGTGAATAACTATGTGATTTAAAATTCCCTAGTAACCACACTTTTAAAAAGTAAAAAGAGACAACATTAATCTTAAAAATTTTTAAGAGTAAAAATTAATTTTAATATTTAATTTAACATACTCCCAAATTATTTCAATATGTAATTAATATAAAAAATTAAGATACATTTATATTTTTCCAAACCTACTCTTCAAAATTATTGTGTATTTTATACTTATAACACATCTCAATTTGGACTAGGCACATTTCAAGTGGCCAATAACCACACGGCTAGCAGCTGCTGCTCGGTACAGCACCGCGCTCCACCCCACTCACGTCCCACAGGTCTGTCCTGCAGCCCTTTGGGACTGCTTGTCAACAGCTGTCACCTAAACTCCTCTGAGAAATGACTTCTCTTTTCCTCCTTTAAAGTCGCATTTCAGTAAGACTCAGAGGAATGTATCTCTTAACAGGGAGAAGTTCCAGCTCATTATGGGCAGGGTGGGGTGTAGGGAGGTAATTTTGTCTTTGGGTATAATAGCACCTCTTGATCTCAGTTTCCTCATCTGTACTATAGGGATTATAAGGGAAACTGCCCTAGAGAGTTTTGTGAGTATTAAATGAGTTAATAACAAGTAAAGAAAAAAGAGCTATCAATTTGGAGCTTGAGGAAAATGTCAGACCCATTAAGTGTTTTACTTGGGCTGTTCCACTCCAGTCCTGTGGAGGATGTACTATTGTTACCCCCGTTTTGGAGATGAGTCAACTGAGAATCAGAGGAAATAAGTTGGTGGAGAGCGCCCAGCCAGGAAGTGGTGTTGGAGAGACTCAGACCCGACGCCTTCTGAATCAGCTGCACACAGTGAACATCCTGTAATGCCCCACTCACGGCAGGACCTCTGTAATGTCCATTTCCTCCCTTTTGAGAAAACTGCTTGGCATCCATCAGATCTTACTGCTCACACCTACTCATCTTCCCCATATAGAGGGTCCCTCTAACCTCTACCCCACTCTCTTCTGGGGCCTGGTCACCCTCTGCTGCTCCAGGCCCCAGGTCTCTCACCATGTAGCTCCCGAGATGCCGCTGAAGTAGGTCACACAGTCCAGGAGTCCCAGCTTTTTCAGAGCCAGCAGATGGCCATATAGAGAGGTCATGGCCCGGGCACCCCCTCCCGTGGCCATGATGCCCACGACGGGGACCTGGACCACACAAAGACACAGGCTGGCCTAACAAGGGCAGGGATAGAGCTGCCTCCTGCCTCCAGGAAAGGGACCTGATCAGGACCGTGGTCAAGGCCCGATCGAGTCAGAACTACAGGCAGTGCCCAGACCCTCCCCAGGAAGTGACCACGCTCAGACATGGACAGAGCTCCAAAGGGAGTGAGAAGAATCTCAGGGCTTACCCACACCCCATATCTCCTCCCACATCCCCACTCCCAAGTCTCTGCTGACTGCAGTGTCTCAAGAGGGCATAGGAATCAGGTAGTCCCTTAAGGGCCAGTCCGAGATACCTGCAGCCCCAACCCCCTGTATTCCCCAAACCTCATCTTCCTGTAGGTCTCTGTCCAACTGTAAGGCCTCCTTCAGGGCCTTGGCCACCACCTGCTTCCTCCTGCTCAGGAAAGCTTTCTCCTCTGCACATAGATCGAAGTCCAGGCGCACGGCCAGGTCCTTAGGGCTGGGCAGCAGAGGATCCGAGGGTAAGGAGGCACCTGCAGAGCTCAGCCACTGGTTGGCCAAGCCCACAAGAGCTGCCAAATAACCTCCCTGCTCCCAACCCCCGCACTCTTTCCACAGCGCTCTCCTGCCCCACAACCACCCCTCACCATCCCCAACAGATATGAATGTCCCTTACCAGCTCTCAGCCTTGAGCTGTAGCCTCACTCCTGGGGCCTGAAACCAAAGCAAGAAACCTTGCTCAGAAGGTCCTAGACCCTGAAGGGGATGTGAGTACCCACTGGGGGTCTCGGGCTCCCCCATCTTCATTCTCACTTGCACGTCCCATTCAGTCGAGGCCACTCACCTCTGTCGCAGGAACATCAATGGCCAGCTCCTTCCCCACAGTCACCCGCCTTAGAGGCACAGCGACGTGCCCAGTTGAGCTGTCTGAGTTCCAGCCATCGCTTTTGGAGCTCTGAAGGGAAATATGCCTTCATTCACTCAGCAAATCCGTACTGAGCATCTAAACAGTGATCCAGGCAGACCTTCCCTCATGATACAAAAATAATTACAACAGTCATAATTATTAAAATTATAATAATTCTGATTACAAAAATAATAGCTACTATTTATTTAGTGTAACAATAGCTAATATTTAGTTATTGTTTTAAGTTGTATATGAATTTACAAATAATTTATAAAGAAACAGGTAAAGAACTGTTGTTAATAAGTGTAAAGGAAATGAGTAGTGTGATAAGACAGAGAAACCAGAGGAGGGATGTGTGGGGCCTATTTAAGACGAGGCATCAAGGAGGGCGCCTCTGATGAGGAGCCATTTGAGCTGATATCTAAAATAGGAGGAGGAGGAGGAAGAGGAGGAGGAGCAGGCAGTCTTGGAAGGGCCAGAGGAGGACAGGAAAGCGCTCGGCATGCTGGGAAAGCAAGAAGAGACAAGTTATGGCTGGAGCATCATAAATGAGGGGGGACGTGGATCAAAATGAGGCAGTGGACGTGGGCAGGGGCCAGGCTGTGCAGCATCTGTAGGCATCGACATAAGATTTCATTCTACGAGAATCACTGGAGAAGCCATTGAAGGTTTTAAGCAGAGACAGACATGGTGTTATAGCCCCACACTCTCTGCAGGCTCTGAGGGTCCTCCCGTCTGCCAAGGGCATGTGCCTAACTCAGGGAGGTTGACAAGGCCACAGGGGACTGGTTTGGTGGGAGGCAGGCTGGGAGGGGCCTGCAGCAGCTGGAGCTGGCCAAGGCTGGGGTGGCGGGAGAGCTCCAGGGTCAAGACCCAAAGACCTACCTTTAGGCGCCCACTCAGCTCTGCCTCCTGAGCTGCCAAGTAGTGAAAGCGGAAGGCAGAGGCTGCACCCAGGGTAGATGTCTGTGTGTCCTCATATGACCCTTTCAGAACCAGCTCCAGCTCCAGGTTGTCCTGATCTAGGGAGAGAGGTGGAAGGTTAACATAAGGGGAGCAAGAGACCCCACAGGGACCCAGAACCCCTGCCTGGACGGGTTGGAGGCCCTGGTGCCTGGACCATGCCCAAGAGGATTCTGGAGAGTCCCCCGCCCCAGCCTGCCAGCTCTCCAACCCCGTGGGACTCCCACCTCCTGTGACATGCCCTCCCCCAGGTTAGGGGGACCCTCCTGTCCAGAGGAGACCTATTGGCCTTCTGTGAGCAAGCAGGAAGTGGCAAGCTCTGTCCTGCTGCTCACCTGCCCTGTACTGGTTTCCCAGCCACCCTCATGTAACCCTCCCCGCCACATTCCAGGCAGAAGTCAGACCTGGTTCTGAGCAGGTCTCACCTGAGACCAGGACTGTGCTCTCCATGCTCTCCACACGGACATCCAGGCATGACAGCTCCCGGGCCTGAGGCAGATCATATCATGGGCAGGGGGCTCTGCTGGGGAAGCTGAGGTCCCCTCAACCTCATCCTCTGAGCCCCGAGGTCCCATATTCACCACACACAGAACAGAAAGTGGGGTCCAGAGTGGGCCTGGGTGCAGAAACCCCTCACCCCACCTCCACTGAGCTGCATCTGCTAAGCCAGGCATCCCAGAAAAGCCAGGAGAGCCCTGTCTCACCCACCTCAGAGCTTGCCTAGATTTGTCAAACTTCTGGAATCTCTGCAGGCCCCCGGCTGTCAGGTATGGGTTTTTCTTCTCTAGATTTCTCTACAGCCTCAACCTGGAGGATGCATTCATTCTACTACAACTGCTCCCAAAGAGTATTATACAAACCACTGGTCTACAGGATATCAGAATGGATCAGAGCAGCCCTCCACATTTTAGAAACTAGAGTACCACGTACCTCCTGGTTGTCTCCCACTGAACCGACTTGCCAAGTGGGCCTGCTGCATTCTCTCTGGAATGCTTGCCAGCTGATAGCTGCAGCCTACTCAGCTCTTGCTATTGACCCCGCCCTATAGAACTGCCGAGTTCATCAACATACCCCTGGTCTCCATCACCTCAGATAAGAGGCAGCTGCCATCAGTATGACTATTTTAATGTGCACAGGCATACCTTGAAGATATTACACATTGCCTTCCAGACCACCACAATAAAGTGAGTATCACAGTAAAGTGGGTTGTAATCTTTCTGCTGACAGGAAGTCTTGCCTTTAATTTGTAAAAAATGCAAGTGCAATAAAGTGAAGCCTAATAAAGTGAGGTATTGCCTGCATTTGCAGACATAATACTAGTCCATCAAACAGGCCCTCGCAGGACCCTGAGCTGGTGCCTCCTTCAATTAGGGGCTCTAGGCACCTTATTCGCCTCATGCCAGGCCTGGCCCTGCTCCCGGGTCAGCTTACTTGTCGGGGGATGACACTTTGAGTAAAAAACTTCTAATGTATCTCTGACCACCGTGCGTCCACTCCTACCCGCTGCAGCTTTGTGACCTTGCTGTGTTTTAGGAGAGCTGACCAGGACTCTCCACTGTCTCAAGGAAGAGCTGACTGACCCCCAACCATATCTCTGGGAAGCCCACCACCCTGGAAACTCCCTCTGAGCCTCATATTAACAACCTGAGACAGGCCTGGCCTGTACGACTCTGGCTTCCTCTTCCAGGGCTAAAAACTGTGAGTTCATCACAGGTGACCAAACGCATCATACAGACTTGGGCCAGACCCTTCTTGCAGCATAGCCTCAGCCTCCCCTCTCTTCATGTTCCCTTTAGCCCCAGGCCCCTCCAAGTCCCTTGCCTCTGACCACCTTCCTAGGTGACCACCTAGCTAAAAGGCCAGGGGTGGTCTTACCCTAAAGCCCTGTCCTTGCTTTATCCTTTCTGGCCCACTCCCACCTCAGCTCCCCCTCACGAGCTCAAGGAAGATAATGGTTACCACAAGGACGTTGTTGGTGATGAGGTCTTCTGGGCATTCTGACCTGGAAAAATCAAACCATCCACAGTCTGGCCTTGCAAAGGCAAAAGCTCTCCTACCCCCTTGTAGCCGAGGCTCCACCCATGTGGGGCTCCCTGGATGACACTGAGGGTTCTCTAAGTCCTGAATTCCATTCAGGGCACAGAGAGATGCTTCTGAAGAGTGAAGGGTGAGCAGGGCAGAGAAAACATTGACCTCCTCTCCTCATTTCTCTGAAAGGATCCCCACCTCCCAGACTGGCAGGAGTGGGGAGATGAGGGACAGGAAACCTGGGCTGGATGGACCAGTGGGAAGATCTAGGTCAGTGACATTTCCCTAAATAACGCCTGGGTCCTTAGACACTCCCTGGGCTGTGCGGGACTACTCACGTTTTTTCCATCAGGAACTCCACATCCAGTTCCTCCTGTCCCTGAAATCAGAGATGAGCAAGTCGTTAACCTTCGTGTAAGTCTTTGGAGCTGACGAAGTTCTTTTACAGTCATTATTTCATCATCTCAAGTCTCCAAGGGAGGCAAGGTCTTACAGTTCTTCCCATTTTACAGATGAGGAAATTGAGGCTTTAGGGAAAGGTGGGCTGCCTGCCCAGGTTACCACAGCTAGTAAGTCTGCAGAGACCAGGTCTGTGAGGGAGATGAGGAGCGCAAGCCCAAAGAGGCTTGAGGATGCCCAGGGCCCATTTCATCTTCCTCTGGAGGGGGATCTGACCCCAGAACTCTGGCCTCCCCCACCCCAGCCTTCACCTGCTGGAGAAAGAACACAGAGACCATCATAAAGCAGGCCCTGGGCACAGGGGAGGGTAGAGGCAGTGAGCAGGAGTGATGAAGCCACAAATGCCCGAAGGGTTAGTTACACTGAGCTGTGTTTTGAGGACATTAGGAAGTTCTCCACCACCCACAACTTCCTCCCACAGACAGTAAAGTTTCTCCACGGAATGATTCAGTTCTGTAACAGTCAAGTTAAGCCATTGCCTTTCCTATTAAAATGTAAATATCTCTGGGAGGGGTTTGCATCTCTGTATGAATGAGTTCAACTCAGCAGCATCTGAAAAGTTGGAAGAAACTGGGAAACCTCCTTGGCCTGGATCTGTGGGGACTCCTGAGGCACCTGGGGACCCAGGGAGAAGGTCTTCCGGAGCAGCTTGCCAGGGAGGACTTCTGCGATGTCGTAGAGAAACCTGAAGCAAAGATCATCCTCTGTGACTGAGTCCTCATCGTAGACGCTCAGCTCCAGAACATTCTAGGGACCCGAGAACAACAACTTAGCGTGTTATTTACTCAAAGCTGTAGCCCTCCTCTGTTGAGTCCTCACTCGATAATCAGAGCCAGAAAAGATTATTATGCCTTCACACTTCGCACTCAAAAATAAAAATAACAGTAAAACTTACAAGCAGTAAAAGAAAACCCAGGAAAGCTCCTAATTTCCCCCTGCTAATTTTGATTTTTATAAAAAATAAAATTCTACCAAAGAATTCTCCCTCCCACCACACCCCTGCTTTGCTGGCTCCCTGAGGCACTGTGTGTACCAGGCGCTGTACTAGGGGTGTATTATCTCGTTTAACCCCACAACAAGCCAAATCAGGACGGGATTTTTACTGTCTCCATGCCATAGAGGGGCGCAGAGAGGACCAGCCGCTTGCTGGAGGCCCACAGACAGCTGGGTTCATGTGTTCTCGGGCACATAGTACATCCAGATTGGGGTACGGAGACACCCACTCTTCACTTTCTAGAAGCCCTGGAGGATACTGTGCTCCACCCAAGAACCCTTCCTCTGCAAGGTACAGCCTGTCCTCAGGTGGGTGGCCTGACCCTTACTGCCACGTCCACTGCCGCGTCCACTGTTGGATCCCTCTCTCCGTGACAAGGTCCTGAGAGGGGGTGTAAGACTTCAAGGAAGCAGTTTCCAACCTGGTAGACGTGGCATGGAAGGCCTTGCAATACCTATTGTGATTGTGCTTGCTTTAGAGATCATGACCTTTTTGCTTTAATCATTATGAATACCCTGGCAGTGATTCAGATAGTGTGCCTGGACCTTTCCCGGCTCAATAAACAGAATAATAATATCATACTAGAACGTCAGGGAATATAGGCACAAGGAAACAATCAGAACAATCTGAGAATTCAAGCTTAATCAATAACAATCATTAGAAAAACACCCAAGATAAAATAGAATACTCTAGGAAATCAGGAGATAATCTCACTACTTTCTTAGAAGGAATTAAAGTACAAAACATGTTTATAAAAAGAACTCCTAGAGAAACTTAAAAGAAGTACCCTTGAAAGCCCCCTGCTACATAGGAACAGCCCCTCCTTTACCTTGAATAGGAATATATATCAACTAGACAGGCAAAGTAATAACAAAAGCTAGTTAGTTATTACAAACTGAACAGTCACTAGGGAGTCAGAATTTATGGTACACTGAAAAAACATTTTAAGCAAAAAGGGTAGATAGCTAAGTTAGACATCACAAGGGTCTTATAATAAATCTCCTATTTTCTCTACTCAGTCTAGCGTATCCTTATGCCCTATACCAAATTCTGAGAAACTTTGGTATACAATAAAATATTTTTAACTGTCTGATTAATGGCTCTCCTAGTTAAAATAATTTTTAACTGAATCTATGAGAACTTTTGTACTTTTACTGATTGTCTTTGTACTGATTTTTTCTGCTTAAATGATCATGTTATACTGCAAATATTAATCACTACCTGAAATGAGAATTATAAAAACCTGCTTGTACTTGCAATAAACGGAACAGAGCTTCGCTGTCCTTTGAGGCGTGTTGTCGTCTGTTACCCAGCGCCGACGCCTTGCCCTCACCTGTGGGACCCCCTGACCCGCTGCGGCTGGACCGCGGCACCTTACCTTGACCCGAGTCTGGATTAGGAAACTGAAGGTCTCATTCCATACAGGATGGCTAGAGTTGGTGATGGTTTTGGTCTTAAACTTTATTCCAGGTGCAGTTGGCAGCTGTAAAACCACATAGGGGTCTGCCTCGCTCACTGCCAATGTCAAGAGAACCATTGTGAGAGAGAATTCCTCATACCCCTCTCCAGGGACTTACCAGATTCCTACCAAGACCCCGGAGGCCACAGTTGCGGCCAAGCCCAGCCCAGTCCCAAGGCACTTGTCTGGGCCTTTCCCATAGGACCCAGTCATCCCCGTAGCCCTGAACCCCAGGAGACAGTTACTCACACACGTCAGCCCAGCCCAGGCCCCGTGCCTCCAGGACCCTCACGGTGAGCCGCCAGCAGGCAGAGGCCTTCCCCTGGAGAGAAATAGACCAGTGAGTCTCTCCTGCTCGCTCGTGAGCTCCACCAATCAGAGCCCAGGCTTCTCCCGAGATGCTTGGTGATGCCGCCAGGTGCCCTGGGGCCAAACAGCCTTTGCACACCCCTGACCTGGGCACAGTGGTTCTGGGCTGCAGCAGTCAGGGAACAGCTGATCACTTTGTGGCGGGGCTGGCTGGGGGGCGGGGGGTGGAATCTGTGGGACTCACTCCCCTTCAGAAACAGGATTGCACAGTGTAGTGGAGAAAGCAGGGAACTGAGGGCTAAGAACAGGTCAGTTTGGTGTCAGCCGCCCCAGCCCCCCAGAGCTCCTGAGGAGGGCAGCCCTTTGGTAAAGCGTGTGAACCTGCTGCCATCATCACCCTGTCCTCTGCACAGGAAGTGGACACATGACTCCAGGGAGGCTGGGCCTCAGGGAGCCCAGTGGTCTGTGATAGCCACAGGTATTCACCCTCTCTTGGGTGGAAATTTAGAAACTCCAAGAGCACCAGGCATTACTGTGAGCAGTGGGTGAAAGGTCACTGGGAATTAAGATGCTGGTGAGATCACAGCAGCCCACAGACAAGCTCAGTGAGGAGAAGGAAGAAACCGAGTAGACAGAAGCTGGGAGGGGCAGAGACGATGAGCAAAAGAAGGTGGCAGGAGGAAGAGCAGGGGCAGGTACGGGGCGGCTGAGGCTTGCTGAGGACAGGGCACTAGGAGTGTGTCCCAAAACTCCTAGAATGAGGTACTTGGCACTGCTGGGGTCAAGGTCTCTGTTCTTCCTGAGCTTGGCTGTGTGGCTTTCTCTGGGTGCCCCACACACGTGTCTTAGAATAAGCCCCTGTGGTCTGAGGCAGAGGCGGCACCATGCTCGCGAGGTGGACACTCGTTGTGGTGAAGTTGGGGGACAGTGTGTGAGGAAACCAAGACTGCCCCCTACCTTCACTCCCCCAGGACCTGTTTCAGTTTGGTGCTTGTGATCAAGACGTGTCTCTTCGCACCACAACCCGGTCTCTGCTCTGCGCAGAAGCTCCTTACCAGGGGCTGGCTCGGTGTCCATGGACGTAACTCTCCACCCGCCACAGAGAACCTCACAGGACAACGGGGCATAGCAAATACCTCAGGTATCGCGCCCTGCCCTCACCCTTCTCCCCTGGGTCCCTGCATTGTCCCTCTCCAGTGGCTCCATGCCGAGTGTCCTTATCATTCCTGTCATATTTCTGGCAGAGCACATGTAACCCCCCGTTAGGTAGACTTGTTTCTCCCTTCGTGGGGATCCACTCCAGTGGCACCAGCAACACGTCAGCTCTTAAGCCTGAGCTCGACACTGGCAGGGATTTAACGAGTGTTTATACACCTGGCTCCACTTCCCCCCTGCATCCAGCTTCCATCACTGCACACACAGAGAGGGGGCTGGCTGGGAGTCTGAGGTCCTGCGGGGGTTGTGCTTCAATGCCCACTTCAGAACGGAGCAGGGTGGGCAGAGGCAGCCCTCCCTCCAAAGCCTCTCAAAGCTACTAAGAAGTGCCCCCAAATGCTCAGTTTCCAATCCGGTCTCATTGCCCAATTTGAGCATTATTATCTCCAGTCACCAAGAGCCTCTCAACCTCAGGAAGCCCCCATTCCCTGGCAGGATATTTTTTCCCAGGACAAAACCCTGTTTCTCTTTACCGCTAAGCCCATCATTACATACGCTAAGCATATTACATTTACGAACTTGGTTTATCCTCCCAACAACCTCATAGGATAGTATTCTCATTTCCTCTCATTTTGCGATGAGAGAATTGAGGCTCAGAATGGTTACCTTGCCCTCAGCCTCAGAGTTAGTAGGTGACATCGTTAGGTTCCAACCCAGGTCTTTGGGACCAGAGCTCACACCCTGAGCTATTCTACCTTCCCAGGAGTTTGATTCTTTGTAAAACCATGCAAATTTTCCCCACTGATATCTAGACACTAGAATTTTATAGATTTGTTTTAGCTAAACATGATTATTGAACTAACAGGTTAACTAACAGCATTCTTTTTCCTCCTGAGGGCACCGGAGCTTCATTTTCCCTGCTGCAAGAATGTCTCACCTGAAATCCTGCCTTAATTAATGACCGACCCTGGATGCTCATGGAGTTCTCCAGCAGGGAGCCCCAGCCCAGCTGCCTGCGGGATCCTGGGAGTGCCTCCCTGCAGATAGTTCCAGCCGCCATCTCTCCCCCAGTACAGGGACCCCGGGACCCACTCTATCCTCCTCCACATGGAGAGGATCATGGGGGATGTGTTTCAAAGAAGTCCCCAGACCAAGGTCCAGAGCATCTGTGACCTTGGTGCCTTCAGCAGAAAGAGAAAATACCCCTGCTGGGACCGAGTGATCCACAGTGGGGCCGGGAGGAGGTAGAGAGGAGTGGAGGCTGCATTGCAGCACAGCCTCGGGGCCCTGCCCCTCCTAAGTCAGGCCGAGCACAGCAGGCTCAACCAAAGCAAGTCCCAGATGCCCAGCCTGCCCTGCCAGCCAAGCTCCTGCTGCCAGAGCAGGCTCCAGTCTTCCATTCCAGCAGGGAAGACCCTGGGTGAGGGCACAGCTGAGGCTCGCCTTGAAGGCTGGGCACCAGGAGCCTGGTCTCCGGAACTCAGCCAGTTCCAGGAACAGCGGTGGGAGTCAAGGTGCTTCCCAGGTGCGAGGGCAAACTTGGGCTCCCAGGGACACTGCAATGTCACCCTGCAGTGGAGGGGTTCCTCTCTATTATCCTCAGGGTTCCCTGGTATCTGGCCTGCCCCAGGGTACGTCTTCTCCAGGAGCACCAACCTGGAACAGCCTGTCTGGACCCAACTCAGGCCTGGATCTCAGGGCCAAGGCTCAGAAGCTGGGTAAGGTTTGCAAATAAGGTATACGGCTCAGGATCATGACCTCAGCATGCTTAGTCCCTTTCCTGGCCACCAACTGGAGTTCCAGAGGAGACCTGAGGAGCCAGTTGCTCTAGCCTTGGTCTCTGGCAGAGAAGGAGAAATCTGGGCTGAGGGGAAGCACCTGGCAAAGTTGGGGTGAGCAGTTTGTAAGCTTCCTTGGCCTGATCACTCTTGGGCACAGTACAAAATTGTCAGCGGAGGGGGATTTGGGTCGGCAGAGCTTTGAGAATCCAGGGTGATTGCTGGGCTCCAGCCAGTTCCAGGAAGTCCCCTGCCTGCAGTGGTGGGCTCTGGGCCTGGGGGCCTCCTTCTGTGACCTACAGCCACTGTGTTCCTTTGGGGGGGGAGGGGAAGGGTTACCTGAGGAAGGTGGCCAGCTGGTCCCCTAGGTGTCAGTCTCTCCATGCCAACTCTCTCAGCTCTGCTCCAGGCCGAACTCCTGCCAGGACGCCACCTCCCTGCCAGGCTCCCAGCAATGATTCCAGTGGGATGGGGCTGACTGTGAACCTGCCGCCTTCTGAGGTGTTGTGATCCTATAAATAGGTTGAGGCTCCACCCCCAGATCACTCCCTCAGCTCAGAACCTTCTTTCTTCCCCAAGAGGCTGGGTCAACCAGCATCTCCAGAATCCTCTGGCAGGGTTCCAGGACTGGCAGATGGAACACCAGTTGCAGATGTGGGGTGTCAAGACTGCAGCTACAGCGAGACACGGGGATGAGTCCCAGGAACGGTGGCAAGAACCCGCTCCCCTGAGGCAGCGAGCCGAGGGCCGTGGGCGGTGGCGGCAGGGAGCAGACCTGAGGAGATCCCTAGAGCACAGCCCCAGCCAGAGCCAGGCCAGCATCCAGGGGAGGACGGCTGTGCATCAGGGGCAGACAAGGGCCTGGCCTCCTTGGCAGCTGCATGCAGCCAGGAGCTGGGGTGTGTCACGGGGGCAGCCTTGGCGGAGGCCCTGAGTAGACCTGGAGAGTGGCGGGGGCTCTGCACGCCCCGTCCTCAGCTTCACCCTCGCTCCTTCTACTTGGCTGGTCCTAGGAGTTTAGAGGATTTTCATTCGACTCAAATGGCAAACTTTGTAATAAATGCACAAGAGATCAATCAGGAAACTCTCAGACAAGATTACAGGGGGAAAAAAAGCCCCAGTGAAGTCTTCTGTTTAAACTATTTCACGTGCGTAAGAATACTGAGTGTTCTCCAGAAATGACATAAATTCAGTCATTTTACTGCTAATTGAATATGTAATTGAACAACAATGATTTATCAAGGCAAATGAAACTGAATTAATGTTAAATCATTACAAAATGTATTGGATCTAAAATGTATTGTTACAGAAGCAGCAAAAAAAAAAAATTGTGGTCTATGAATAGGTGAAAAATAACTGATTGGAGAATATTTCTAATTTGTGTAACCCAGGTAGATAATTTAATGAAAAAGTGGAAAATGTAGAAAACCACAGAGAACACTTTTCCAAAGTGGGGCATAGATGAAATGATGCGCAACACCCTGGCCGGCGAGCGGCAGAGCCGGGCATTGTGCTGTCTGGGCTGAAAGCCCATGTCCCCTCCCCAGACTGGGTTCAGCCTGGCCTAGAGCTCACCCACCACGGAGTCTTCTCCAGGGGTCAGTCCCTGAGCCATCCCTGGGCCACAGGAGTCCAGAGGAAATACATCCCCCAGGGGGAGAGATTTCACATCTCCCTGAGCAGAGGCGGGCCTCACCTGCAACCAGGAGGGGGGCCTCGAGAGGCAGAGCTGCGGCGGGCACTCATGCCCAGCGCCAGCTGGTTGAACTAGCGGTGCAGCATCTTGGTGTTCAGTTTCCCCACCTGTGCGGTGGTGCTGCGGCAGACGCTGGGCCTGCTGAAACCCATCAACTCCTGACTCCAAGAGCCTTGATTTGGGGTTAGGACCCATGGGTGGGATTTAGGGCACTCCCCCCAGTTCCTAAAATTATAGTAAAAAATGATGTGGGTGCGCATGCGCGTCTCCGCTTGCAGGGCGGTGCTGTCCGGGGAGGATGCCCTGTGAGCCGCCTGTGTCACACTCAATTGTCTCATAAAGTGAAATTTCTTTAATAATATATTTCATGTAATCCAATAACCCCAGATATTTTCAATTCTACGTGTAATCGACATATAAAAATATTAAGGCAATATTTCACATTTTTTCACATTAAGTATTGAAAAAACACCATGTGTATTACTCTACGACATATCTTAATTCCAACTGGCTACATTTCCAATGTGGTGTAGTAGTCACGCATGGCTACTTTTTAATTTACTTATTTATTTATTTACTTACTTATTTAAATTCTTACCTGAGGATATATTCCTAGATTTTAGAGAGAGAGGGTGGGAGAAAGACAGGGAGAGAAATATCAACGGGTTGCCTTCCATACACACCCTGTATTGGAGACCAAAACTTGCAACCTAGGTATGTGCCCTGACCAGGAATTGAACCTGCAACCTTGCAGGTTTCTGGACAATGCTCCAACAACTGAGCCACAGTGACAGTGGCCTGGGAACGGCTACCTTATTAGAGAGTGTAGGTCTATAGGGGGGCCAGCCACAGAGTTCTGCATGGATGAGAGGAATTAGAACCCTCCAATAGCAGTTTCAAGACTTATGTGCCAAGACTTGGGGTTTTAGTTAATTGGAACCCAAGATGCAAATGGTGAAAGGCCAGGATCAAGAAAGCAAAGTTGTTAGCTTAAGTCTTACTGATCTCCTTACCCTTGACTCTGCAAGGCTGTGATTAGAGGTTAGGCACAGGAAAAATGGGCCAGGATGGACAAACGTCGGGGGAAGAAGACAGAAGAGAGGCAGAGGAAACCTGGAGGTGGTCGGTGTGGCTGAGGCTGCATGTGGCTCCCCCTGGCTGATGGGATCCCGGAGGCGGAGACATGCGGGTAGGAGGAGGTCTGCAGCACCTCCATTTGCCACTCTCCCTCTCCCTGGCTGGTGTGGGGGAGGAACAAACTCCTCTACCCTCAAGGTCTTTTGGCTGTTCTAGTAATCAAATAGACATGAGACTGATTAGCAAGAGAAAAGAACCAAATTTGCCCTGGCCAGGTAGTTCAGTCGGTTGGAGCCTCGTCCCATACACCAAAAGGTTGTGGTGTCAATCCCCAGTCAGGACGTGTACAGGAGGCAACCAATTGATGTTTCTCTCTCGCGTCGATGTTTCCTTTTCTCTCCCTCCCCCTCTCTCTAAAATCAATGAACATATCCTTGGGTAAGGATTTTAAAAAGAGAGAGAAAGAAAATAACTGCCCCCAGGCCAAACACCCCCTGTGACCACCAAAACAACGCAGGGGAACCCCCAGGGTCCAGCCTCTGCAGGTCTCAGGGTCCCTGAAGGATGAACAGCACAGGTAACGAATGAAGAGTCAGACACCCGATTGCGTGACAGAGAACAGCCAGCCTCTGTGGGTCTGACTGAACTCTCGGAGTTTGATTAAGCTTTATTTTTATAGAGATTGTTACATGGCACCAAAGGAACAAGTGCATGGCATGATCAGTTAAGCAGAAAAAATTAATACAGAGGTAACTTGGACACATACAGGAAGTTCTATAGATTCAATTATGCTAAACAAAGGTTATTTTGACCAGGAGAGCCATTAATCAGACAAGAAGAAATAGCTGTATGTACGGAGTTTTAAATGTCTTATTGATGAATAGATGTTTATTAAAGTTCTTAGAATTTGGCATGGGTCAAAAGGATATGCTAGACTGAACAGTGGTTATAGAAAATTTATTAAAAGGCCTTTGTGGTGTCTAACTTAGCTACCTGTCTTCCTGTCTAGAATCTTTCTTTATGTATTTTGGACTCTAACTCCTTCATAATTGTTTCTGTGTGCTTAGTTTATAGTAGCTAACAAGCTTCTCCTGTTTCTTTGCCTGCCTAATTCTAATTAATATATATTCCTGTCCAAGGTAGAGGAGGGGCTGTTACTCCATCAACTTTTAGATGTTCAGGGGTTACCCCATCAGGGGGGACTTTTGTTCTATGGCCAAGAAATCATTTTGTACAATCTCATTGGAATTCTGCAGATCATTGGGCCAGAAATACAGGTGTCTAAAAATCCTGCCACCTATTAATCACAAAGACAAACATGCAAGGAGAGGTAGACAGGAAATCCAGCCACAGTTGCCTCTGCTGTGCAGATGCATCTCATTTGTCCCGACTGTGTCAAGGGATGGCTGTTGGTTGGCTCCCGACAAATAACCATATTTAATACATACATGTGTACGGCAACCCAATATACACTGAGAGAGTCAAAGACCCCGCAAGTCGGAGAGGTTCAGAGACAGAAAGAGAACATTGGTATACAAGACATTCTGAACTAAGGATGAGTTAACGTGCCTAAGAGGCTTCAAAAGTTCTTTGCAGAATGATGAGAAGAGCAGATGTTTAGTAAATACAAGTTTGTCCTGCCCTATAGACAGGTCAAAAGAGATTCTCTTTGATAATCTCCCATTAAGGGCAAGGCCCCTATTCAAGGCAGTCCAGGGAGGGGTAGAAGTTTCCCCTGAGCTCACAGCTGAAGATGTCCTTAGCTCGAAGCAATCCCAACACCACAGAAGCACATCTTGGGGTGACTAGAACTCCCACACTGGCCGTCCCCCTTTCTTCCACTATCTCTTCTCAAAGTTTGTGCTACACTCACAGTAAATGAACATCTACTTTTTCATTAGGCATTTATAGACCCTTTAACTCCCCCCAATTTCTTCTGCAGAAAGAGCCCTTCCCGCCCACCCTCAGCCCCACCTCCTCCAGCTGCAATAACCTGCAGGTCGAATTGCCTGGCCAGGTGGTTAGCCCACTGGACTCATGACCCAGGCTGGTGCAAAGCAAATCCTGGTGCATGAAGCTGGGGCTGCTGAGTGCAGCCATCTTGCCACCACAAAAAGAAGGCCTGCTGGAAAATGGAGCCAATACTAACAGTTAGTGATTAAATAATACTGAACTGTATTACCAGGCAGAGGTGGGGTTACTATGAAGCTAATGCTGCGTACACTGGGCCCTCCTCCTGCACTACCCTTCCCAGGCTCTGGGGAACCTGGCAGCAGGTTCTTGTGATCATTCATGTGCTCACAAAGTTGGCAAAAGTAAGCTATTTTAACTTCAACTGGTTAAGACCGCTTTCTTTCCATTCTTCTACCTCCTCTGTTCACATGGATATGACAGTGGGTATTTTTAGGATCTGATGAAGAAGAAGTTGAGTCAGAGTTGCATTCCATTTCAGTCTAGTGGGACATAATTATGTGGTTTACAGTCAGTTTCATGTATAGTGAAGTTACTGTCAGCCATTCTGGTTTGGGAATCATTTCCAAAAACACTGCTACCACCCACAGTGCCAACTCATCTGTGTTGTGACACAGAGATGCACAGGGCCAGAAGGTGACACAGTGTGAGGGAAACAGAGGAAAAGAAACAAGGTCTAAAATATACAGACCCACAAACTAGTCTGTGGAAAACTCGTCCAGTCAGACACATCAGATTTTAAGTGGAAGATTTAGTTCGCAGAGCCACCTGATCAAAAC